GTCTGTTGGTTTTTGGGCTCCATTGATGGTTTCACGCTCACCCCTATAACCATGAGCTTCTTATTTTGTAAATCCCGAGAGATCCAGCACTTCTTCTGCGAAGTTCTCGCCTTGTTGAAAATCTCCTGCTCAGATACCTCTCTCTATGAGAGTGTCATGTACGTGTGCTGTGTCCTTATGCTCCTCATCCCTCTCACAGTTATTTTAAGTTCTTACTCCTTTATCCTCCTTACAGTCTATACAATGAATTCGGCTACTGGTCGTAGGAAAGCATTTGTCACATGTTCTTCCCATGTAAGTGTTGTTATTCTCTTTTATGGAGCTGCTGTTTATAACTACATGTTCCCTGTCTCTTATCATACTGTTGAAAAGGATATGATGGTGTCTGTCTTCTACAATATCCTAACACCTGTTATAAATCCTCTCATCTACAGTATCCGGAATAAAGAGGTCACAGTAGCTTTGAAGAAAATATTATGGTCAAAGCTGATTTTAGCTTATTTTCAGAAGTAGAATATGGTCTCCAAATACTTAAAAACACTCTACATTCTTTTATTATCTATCATTGGTTCATTCAATTCATGTTGCCTTGTGATAAATAGGCATCTCCCTCCTTCCCTTCTCCTTCTAAATCAATTTCTTCTTCTTGAGAGTTTTTGAAACCTTTTGGGATAATCTTTTCCTAGTTTAGTATAAAAATCCTTGACATTTACGCCAGATTATAAGGATTTGATTTCTCTACCCGTAACCTGTTAGCTAGGTTACCTTGAAGAAATGACTGAAAGTCTCTGAGACTTGGTTAACTTTTCTGTCTAATGTAGTGTTAACGAAATAGTTATGAAATATCTAAAAGGTAAATGGGTCCAGTATGGATTTATCAAAATTTTTTTTTACTAAACTCGCTTCAGAGTATGCAGTCTTCAGGATCTTCTCTGATATCTCAAGGTAGAGCACAAGCTGTAGGTGTGATGCTGGTGAGCAGATGTGCCACTTGCTGCTGCTGCTTGTCAGATCTTCCAAAGTTCTCTCTCTGGGTTTGGTTTGGTTTGGTTTGGTTTTTAAGTATTTTTCCTCAGTAAATTAAATTTGTTTTAAGTGTATTGCACTATAACTCTTTGTGCTTGCATGTTGAGTTAATCACTTTCTTTCTTCACTAATACTGATTACTCACTAATCACATATAACCTCTTAGCTGGTTTATTCAATAAATAAACAAAATAACTTGTTAGAACCCTTTGTGCCCTCCTCCAGTCTAAGATGATAGTAATTTATTTTATAATCATTCTCAAGGTAAGTCTAGTGTTTGAAATGGGCAGTTTGTGGAGGCTGAGATACAATAATAATTTGAGGCTTCCTGTTATAGTTTCCTATGGATATAACAGTCACCCAACATGTAAGTGCACTGTTGAATACATGTCAAGGCTGAGTTTCTCAAAAGACCAATCATGAATTTATTCATG